GTAAACCTAATGGTTCCTTTATCACATTAAAATTCTGTGGGGACGTTGATTTGACATGAAGGAGAAAGATACTTAATGAAACCACATCAGAACTCTTAGGAATTCTAGAAACAGAGAATTTACCTTAAACCATTCCTTGAAACACACGTTTTCGCCTAGTTCCTTACATCCTCTTCAAACGACAAATTAATCACTTGATCCATTCTCTAGATAAAAGATTAGCGGTAATTAGTTGAATTTCAGCTAACACTATTGAGGTTTCTGATTTATTGATTGACTTACGGCTTATCTACCTTTATTGAGATTCTAAGTAATCCAATAAGCAAAGCAATAATTGTTTATAATAATTGTTTATAATAATTTTTCTAAGCAAAGCAATAATTGTTTATTTTTTACTACAATAAACATCTTATTTAGGCTCTACATGGGATTCAGTAGAAATCCCTATTATTTGAAACAATTAACTGATATAGAGATGAAGAAGTTCCTCTAAGGAAAATGTGTCTCCCCCACCGACAGGTATAAAACATCTATTCAGAAAGCATTATATTTAGTGGGATGTTTTCTCAAACACATGCAACAACTAAATATTACGTATACATGAATATACATGGATATTTATTTTTTCGTTTTAAATTTCCGGGTACGAAAATAAATTTAGTAGATATAAGCTCCGAGGGGACCCAACTAGAAAGTGGTTTATTTGACAGAGAAACAGAATAAATGTGCAATTCTTAAAGGAGAAGTGCCCTCATTTTAATTGTTGTGAGTTACTTGTTTGTTGTATTGTTCGACCTTATTCGAAGAAGAAGAAGAGGATTCATACCTTTCCATTTCGAATCCATTACATTCACGTAAGTAAATGTAATGGATACGAATGGATTTATCATATAATATATTTAAAAATAAGCAGCTTACCAATAGATGAAAAGCCAAATAAAATAAATGATAGCTAAATAATATCATGAATTTATGATAAAACATGCAGGAGACTATAGTTTTTCATCATTCTTAAAAGGTAAGATTTTTACTATATTTATCCTAATAATGTTTGGTAATATAATTGGAGACGATATAAAAAAATCTAGAACTTATACTGGCAGCAAAACGCCTAGTTACAGATAGTAAAAGAATTAAGTAAATATACAAAAACAGAAAAGGGTATAAGACAAGGATATGTTTTCTCACCGGACTTATTCAACTGATACATTGAGAATTAGAACTCTTACCGGAATTCATTTTTGGCAGCCATAATCTTAGCAACAAACGATATACAGTTTGTAGAGATTTGATAATAGACATGGAAAGGATATTTTTAGTGATTTATTTATTTAACGGTTGTTTAACTCTTTATGGGTCATTTAATGCCAAAATTTAATTTTCTTTCTTTTCCTGGAGAAGGTAGTAAAGGAAAGTGAGAAGTAAAAACTGAACATTAATTGTAAGAACACAGAATATATGGTTGTAAAGAACAAGAACATTATAGTTAGTTGCCTCTTTCGGCAGATGTGTAGTAACATAAAGGATACTGAAAAACAATCAGCTATAAACCCTTTATGAACAATATTTTAAAAGGTATGTCAAAATATACGTTTTTCAATTTTATATTTTTCAGGCATAATCAGAGATAGAAGACTCAAAATATTTTATGTAATAAAACATTATCTATGTATTTCGGTTGTTCTTTGGTTGTTTCGTTTAGTGGCATATCAAATAATAGTTTTAGTGATACAAGTCTAACTAATTAATCCATAGATTGGGGAGAAGAGATGAATCCATACCTTTCCCGAGAATATGTGCTCATAAGTGGATATAAAGAACCCAACTTGAATTGGAACTCGGTTCTCTGATTAACAATTCCGAGACATCATCCATTACACCACCCGCGCACCCAAGCATACAGCACCTGGGATTTTCCAGCGGCTACCCATCTGGGTACTGACCAGGTTTGACGTTACATAACTTGGGTAATCGTAAGGGAATCGGAGTTTCAACGCGATATGGTCGTAAGTCTCAATGTATTTCAATCAGGTGAATAAAAATACCTTTTCTTAGTTTACCGAGAAAGAAGTAGTCTTTTCTAAGAGTTCACTGAAAAGTAATAATATACACAGTTACCGTTGGCGATCGAGTTGGTAAAACTCGGGCATAGCTGATATCGAATATAGGAGAGAATACGGAAGTGGCACGTTCATCAGTGGAATGGTTTTTCTGCGGTGAGTTCAGATAATTTTATGAGTCCAGGGCGACTCAAATAGACCGAGCTGCGTTTTAGGCGGGGAGCCCCTCTGACTGGCAGAAATATTTCAGTTCTTCATCATATTGTCCACTCGAAAGCTATGCGCGATCATCCCGCGCAGATAAAACAATTTCCCCGCATGCACTCCAGCTGCAGAAGCGTCAACAGCCGCTTTCGCGTCCTCTTCACTGCAACAACTCAATATGCGAACTACGCATGCCAATATCGAATAAGTACGAAGATTGTAAAATCTGGGAAGTAGTTTACCAGAGGACGGAAAATGTGAAACCGAAATCAAAAGGCGCATTAGAATAACAAATCTTGCCTTCCAAAACCTATGCATGGTATTAAGAAACAGGTGAATGTCGTTAATAATAAAGAAAATAGTACAGAACTTTTGTATAATATTAATCCTTCTCTCCTGTATGACATTAAATGTTGGACAATTTTCTTACAGATGAAGTAGAGGCAACAGACGATTCTACAGAAGGATGGTGAGAATACCAGTTTAAAAAAAAATAAAAACAAAAAGACACTTAGACTTCGAATCATAAAGAGAGAATTGGAATTTCTAGAACAAATAATGAAGAAAGACGGTTTGGAAAATTTGGCACTCACAGGACATATTAAATGCAAGACGGACAGAGAAAACAGAATGTAACCTATATAACGAGCTTGTACAAATTGATGACAGAACATATATTGGGAGGAATGGTGAAAAGAGCTCCGAATGTAGGAATTTGGGGAGAGACATGATCACACACATCTTGAAGGAACGTAGCACATAAAAGAATAAAATAACCCCAAAAATAAGCATTCCGTTTCTGATACTGTTCAGCTAACTACTGTCGATGCTAATATTATAAACTGTTGTTCGACTACAGTTACTTTTATGGAAGGTTTAAGGAATATGTTTAAGATTGATTTCTAGTAACATTCTGATTTTATGAATCGGTTTAAATAAAGTATGTTAATCGAAAAAACTGTATGTCGATTTCTCTTGTTAACATTGTTATATCAAGGGAATAGAATAATTTATGCAACGCTAGCTGAATTATCAGTCCATCTATAAAACTAAGTGATTCCAATGTAGGCACAAGGGAATTTTTTCTACTTTCTCTGTTTATCAAAGTACAACACAGTGAGGAATTCTATACTAGTGTGATTTATGCGACTGCCTAAGAAGTGGAAATAAACCACGCCCTTCGGCGCTGCTTCAGTATCCAATCCCATTGAGTAAAATCGGTATAATTTCCTCTTTCTCTCCAGATATTTTCCACTGTACTGATTTTTGAAAACTACATTTTCGCTAAAGCGTTTTAATTCCCATCTAGGCTTATTTCAATAAGATGTATGGTTTCAATCATATTTAATCAGTGTACGAAGGACCATATTTTTCTTTCGTCCTTTTTAAAGAAATTTTGCCAAGGAATTAATTTATTTTAACGCACGGATTCCATATTTGAGGCCAGCTGAAAAACTGATCGGTTGAAATATGGTTACAAAATAGAGAACACGACGTGTTGAAATATCAAAAGAATTTTAGAAACTTAATGAGTCTTCTCAAAAGTATAGGCAGTATATTATAGTTTAATTGTTATTTACAGTGGAACAAGCGGATGGTGATTAGAACAGATCTTAACGGTTGAATCGGCAGATGAAGACTACTTCACCGAGTGTGCTCCATACTTTAGGCCTTGTGCCACATCTAAGCGATGTTTAGTAAATCACTATTCCCCTTCTATAGACATTAATAGATTAAGAAGGCATTCTGATAATAAGTAACTCTGATGGTTGCTCTTTGTAGTGAATGGTTTTCCGTGGTCCAGTAACTCTGAGATCGTTGCCGTCGGTAGTTCTAAGCATCTGGTAGGGCCATCCTTGCCGGCAAGGTACAAGACAGATACCCCGATTAAGCGCGACCCACCCCCAAAGACCGTAAGGGTGGGGTGGGCGGATGATGATTACAACAAATATCAGGATATGAAGAGATGTACGCATACTACATAAGGCGACACTCGAAATTACAGCTTAGTCAGCGGCAGTCCGTTGCAGTTTCATAAGTGGATTTTTCATGTTTCATTCTATATTTGCCGCAGAGGAAGGTCATGGAATCACGTGTGTATTATATTTATTATTATTGTATTGATGCGGCATTCACCCTGGGCGGATTGAGCCGGCTTCTTCCTGTTATGAGAAGAAGATTCTTGGGATAAATTACAGAAGTAGGGTACCCAGGCCTACTCGGATAACGTTCTTGCTTGCCGCGGGATTCCCACAGACGCAGAGACAGGAACGACCAGAAGCCGCCGGTTGCCGATGCAGACGCTCCTTGGATTTTCACCAGAGCCCTTATTAGCCGGCGTATGTGTCAGACCTGTCCGCCTTGGGTGGTCCTACCAGGAACGAAGTTCCGGACGGCATAGCTCTGACACTACCATTTACACCCCCCACCGACTGTGAGGTAAGGGTAAGGGTGTGGGTCACTTCTTTCGGCAAATTGAGGTACAACAAATTCATGCCATCGGTACTTTCTTCTACTCCAATTTACTTTCACCTTCCACCGAACCTTGTAAAGCCAAACGGGGACAGGAAATGGATGGCGACATCAAGTTTTGGTGAAAATGGAAGCTTTTAGTTCTGAACCTGCACATTCACGGTGAATGTCGTCATCAACACTATCATCATAAAGGAAGCGATCTGCAAAGCAAAAATTATATTCTTGGATACCCGATAAAACAAAAAATGACAGTCATATATC